AAAATCCCTTTTAACAAGGAGTATTTACATGTAACCTACAGAGTTATAAAGAGACTTGATCGATACAAAATTATAAGATTAAATGAGAAGAACTAGCAAGCAGCATGAGACAGACATTTAAGTCCCTGTCTTTATGTGTGACAAAAGAATACAATTACTTAGAATAAAGACAAAATAATAGGTCCTTGATGTCAATTACAAGTCTTGATTCAGATAAAGTCACAATTTGCTTTGTCTTTCTTAACAGGCTGATGCTGACTTTGTTTTTGCAACATGCCATCCTGAGTTCAGCGAGAAGGGCTCCAACAAAGAACGGGTGGAAATGAGGATTATGAACCATCTACAGGACTTCTTGCAAGAGCTGGAATCACGTAAGTGCACATGTAGTTTACTGTCAATGTATTTTGTCTTTCTGTGTTAAACTTGGAATCATAATTTCATGTAAGGAATGGCTAAAGGTTTAGAGAACGGCAAGTCTTGGTTTTCATTGAGTTTGCTGCTTTAGTGTTTTTAGATCTTTTTGTCCGATGTTTCTGGAGTACACTTCAGAAAACGTTTTACAAAAAGATATAAAAATACAAAAGCAGCAAAATGTGTGAAAACAAATGATTCTTATTCTGTAAACCTTTGGCCACAGCTGTAGATTACACTATGAGTGCTTGTCAGTTCATTCTTGTCAGTAATTAAATTTTTAAGTTGTGTTTGTGAAGTTACAGGTAAACAGTATCTAATATTTTATCTAAATGACTGCTTTGTCTTTTTTTAAAAAAAGGTGAAGAGCCTGAGACCAGTGATCCAGTCATCCTTTCCCCAAGTTCATTCTTACAGTGGCTCACAGGACAAGGCCACATTCCTGTCCTGCCAGATGAGAAGATAAACTTCAAAGTCTCTGTGCAGTTCAACCACTCATGCCAACCGTTACAGCATGTAGTGACACAGTCAAGCTACCTGTTCAGTATATGCAAACTTATGAAGAGTTCAAGCATGTGATGACAAACGCGTTCCACTATGGTCAGGCATTTCTTCATATTTAGGAGCATGATCAGCCAGCCAGACATCTTGATTGTTCCATGAAATGTTATTTAAACAAAAAAAATCGACACGTGTTGCTTGATGGGTTTTTTAAAATTGTTTTACAGTTTAAGCATTCTGTTTATTGCCATTGAAATTATTAAAAAAAGTTTTTGTCAATATAGTCCTTGCTGATCTCATTCCCTCCTCCATTTGACAGTGTCAGCTTGTGAGTATCTATTTGGGTTCATGAGTGTAACAAAGTAAGAAAATGAAAATTACCATTAAAACAAGGAGAGGTTTTTATTCTTCTGAGAAGGGATTATTCAAAAGAAAAAATATCACTAGCAGTTTGTAAAATAACATGTTCTTATAATTTTACTCTCTGATGGGCCAAGCTGCAACTTTCATGGATGGTGATGTAGGTGAAGAGCATGTGAGAGTGTGGTCAGGTAAATGTTTTAAATTTAATGGGCGACCGTGGCTCAGGGGGTTGGGAAGCGCATCTGTAACCGGAAGGTCGCCGATTCGATCCCTGGGCTCTCTGTCCTGGTCGTTGTGTCCTGGGGCAAGACACCTTACCCTATAATTATACCCATAATTAAGTGTTAAAAACTAAATTATTCACTTAAACCAAAACATAAACAGATCCTAATCATAAAGTAGTCTAAACGTCAGGCAACAAAGTGAATAAGTCAGAAAATCTTCCTTTCCTATGAACTCTTCAGCTTTTATGCAGTCTTAAAAAATAAGACTGCAAGAATTTTGTTCAAATTATTTTCAAAATCTCAACTTATGTCAAAGTTAAAACAAAGATTACATATAGCACTCAAAACAAAAACATTGTCATTATTACTCAACTGCCAAATTTTCTTCATATCGCTGTGGCTCTGATGGGGTGCTGCAGCATCCAAAGTTCCCACAGCTGGTTTGGTGAAAGGCTATGCTCTGTCCTGATGGAATGATCATTCCAGCCAGCAGAAAACTTGGTCAAATCC